AAACAAACACAACGATTTAACGTTGCTATTCGTTGATTAATTAAACTATTTACCAATTGTTCTTAACTTTTGGGTTTCCCCTTCTTAAATTTTAACGAATAAATAAATACAGTTAAAAATTCCACGTCAACTACCTCTTTTTATATGGTTTAAATATCGATTAACTATTTTATGTTGGAATTTTAACCAATTATTCTCGAGAAATTATGCATGTGATGAGAAAGTAGTATATATGCATCTGGGTTAGTTGTGGATTTGCATTGATTATTTCATTACCTTAAGATAATTTATAAAATTAGTGTATGGCGTTGACAGTGTTTTTTAATACTCACTTCACACCTTCGTCACTCCTCTTTTGGTTTAATTATATGGCCTCTAAATAGTGTGAACACTTACATTCATAATAGGGACAAGTTTTTTTTATAATAACCAATTAATGATTAATTAATTAATATAGAAGTACCATGGATACTGCAATGGTCCAACTATATATAATCTTTTAGACTAAATCAGACTTTACATCTTGACCATATGATTCCCAAAGGACCATATCATAAAACACTTGATCTGTAAATACCGGTCCTTTCTTCCCCAAATTAAGACCACGAATATGGAAAGTGTAAGATCCTGACAATATTCAAGTATGAAAGAAAACCAAAACATCAACAATTCCAGCTAATCATATACACAAATGAATTTCCAGATTCACACTCTCACATTATTATTTTTTTTCATGTGAGATAATTAGTAAAAGATTTTTTTTAATTAGAGAATTATCTAACTTAATTTTACACAAATAAGATAATATATTACTATAATTTGTTTTGATATCATCTTAGAAATAGAAAATTATTTACCTCAATCTTTTAGAATTAACTCAATAATATATGATTTGTACACATATAAAACATAGATGAACCAGAATACTTGTTTTTTTTTTTCATGCATAATATTCCTCTTCGTATAATTTTAAATTTCTTCATTGAAATTTCTTAAGAGTACGCACGAGAAAGTCCTAAGGGACCCATGCACAAAAGCACATAATATTTAAGCCAAGAAAAAAATTATGCAAAATTAAAATTCAAACAGGACTAGAGAAATTTATTTACTTTTCGTGACCGTAGAAGAATTAGTCATGATTTATGTAATTTAGACAGAGATGTGTTTTGAAAAATATTTGGTTGACATCAAAGTGGGACAATAATTAGGTATTTATTTATTTATTTTGAGGGTATATATATGAAGATAAAAACAATTATTTATAAATGTTTCATACGCTCTTAATCTTTTTTTATGTCTAAAATAATAGTTTAATTAATTATATATATGATGTAAATCGTATGATAATTGAAGCAAAGGTTTGACAAATATATTGAGGGAAAAAAATATGCTCTTCTATTGGACAAGGAAATGATACGAAAAATTCTATATTTGAAAAATTTCTTATTCGTAAATATCCTGGAATTTGACGGCATAAAATTGCACTTACCATACAAATGCCATGGCGTACAAGACACTTCAAAATTGTGGCGTAGCATATTGAAGTCTCTCACCAACTTTCTTCATAAAACGCACAAAAACACGAATAGGGACAAATAAATGGTTGGTGGTAAAAGAATTGTCCTTCTTTTCTATGAAAATTATCCATACAATATTCAAAACTAGACATAGAGACTTCCTCCTTTGAGAAAACTTAATAAACTAAAATTCAGAGAATAATCTTTCTAATGTCATGTCACATTGAAATCAAGGAACTGATATATGTCATCAAAAGATTATTTCTAGGCTAAAAGTTATGTGGGTTAAATATTTTATTGAATTAGGTTATTTTAAATACAGCATATTTTATTCTTTTTGCAGAATTGTTATTTTGTTTTTTAATGTAAGATTTACATTGTATTGAGGTTTTAATGTAATCAATATTTATGTTTTACATTAAAATTTTTAGCGCTTTTACTTTAAATCCCAAGGTATAATCATTCGTTTGGCTCTCTTAACGGTAGATTATAATGTATAATGTTTAAAGATTTGGTTGATTTTGTTTTAAAAAGCAGATTTAGATATTTATTTTAAAAAACTATTTTTAAAAAGAAGTTGGATAAAAAACTTGTTTAATAATTTATTTATAAAAATTATTTAAAATGAAATAGAGTAATATATATGTGATTAAAAAAATTGTGATCAAAGTTTGAAAAACGAGTTATTTAATATAATAATTAGATAAAACGTTGATATTTATTAACGAAAAGAGAAGGCTATAATATAAAATATCTTTTATCAATTTTGATTTTTAATTTAAAAAAAAAAAAATATATATATATATATATATATATATATAATTACCAAACATTTTTTTAAAATTTATATATATATATATATATATATATATATATATATTTTTTTTTAAATCCTAATAAAACTTGTTCAATTAAGATTCGTACTTTCATATGCTTGTTCCAACTTTAATGGAAAACCAAGTCCAAGTGCAAGTCAAGTTTTTTCTTTTCTTCTAATATGTAAAAAAAATAACATTCTATATTTGGTGAAGACCTTGCAAATTACAATTAATATCAACCATATTTCAAAATTTTAACAACATTTTTTATATAAAAAAATCAAATAAATGAAAGAATGGATCAAAGCAGAAAAAAAAATACATTCTCTATATGAATCATGAGTACATAATTAAAAATTACACAACTTCGTAGGCCCATTTTTGTAAAGAATGGTGATTTTTCTTTGAGAGATCAATCATCAATCATAGTTGACCTATAGGGATGGCAAAGCGGGTCGGGCCGGCGGGCCGACCCCCAGCTCCGCCATAATATGACAGAGCGGGTTAGTATTTTCAGCTCACCGACCCGCTTTGGCCCGTCCACTAAGCCCACCAACCCATCGGGTCAACCCGTGGGACGGGCGGCCGATCCGCGACCCGCCTAATTAATAAAAAAATAAATTTTTATTGTAATAAAATTAATTATAAAGATAATAATAAACTTAGAAATTTTAAAAAGAGAATTAAAAAAGTTTGACTTTCACACAAAATATTCTCCTTATTGAAACACAACTTTCTCTCTCTTGTTCTCCTTGTTCATCCTAAGCATTGCTTATTTTTATCTTTATGACTTAAATTAAAAGTGTAAGAATTACTCAACCAAGAATAATGTGAAGTTTTATCAAATAAAAAAGATATAGATATTTGAAATTTTCAATATAAAAAATATAATTTTTATAAGTTTTAACGTTATATATATATATATATATATATATACATACATATATATATATATATATATATATTATGTTACTATTTATTATTATGTAAATTTTATTATTGTTCTAAATTATAATTTCTTAAAATAATGTATTGATTTATATTATTAAATTGAAATAATATATATATATATATATATATATATATATATTGAATTATTGACAAACAAATAATAATCTTATTATTAAATTTATTAAAAAAATTATTTTAAAAAATAAATTATTTTTTCTAAATTATAGCAGATCAGCTCGTCAACCCACCCTTGGCAGGCGGCTAAGGTCTACAGATCCATCATGACTATATCAGGTCAGCTCGTTCCGCCCGCTTTTGACGGTCAAAGGCGTGGCGGCTAAAACGTGGCGGGTTAACCCGTTTTGCCATCCCTATTAACCTACCTTTGTCATGATAATCGAAATATGCTTCTCAAGGTTCTCTACAAATGTATTCATGTGTTGCTATTCAATATTAACAAATGAAGAGTTCTAAAATCACCTTTTACAAAATATGATTAAGTTATTAGGGTTTAGGGTTTGAAAGTTGAAATATCGACCTCTAAATTAACACGAATCTACAAGTTTAATATGTTAAAATGAATCAAATTAAATATATTATTCGTTTGTTAAAAGATTTATAATATATTTGAAGAAAAATTATAAAAAATCTTTTAATTTGATGATATGAGAAGCAAATAACTTGTTTAAAAAAATATCACCACTAGACACTAATCAATTAAAATTAAATTAAATAATTAACATATAAAAACATATTTCTATTAATTCTGATATTTAATTCAATATTATAAAAATAGTTTTTAAGATAAGATTTCCTATTTATTTATATAATTTAATTTAATTATATTTTTAATTAATATAAGGTTTTAAAACTTGATTCAATCTTATAAAACAACGTGTGTATATATATATATATATATATATATATATATATATATATATATTTAAAATAATTATGTATGACGTTTGAGAAAATTAAAAGTTTAGTTAAGAAGCGGAAGATGTCAAATTTTATGGAGTGAAAAAAAAAAATACCAGACCATCAAACCTAATAATTGTTTTATGAAGAATATGTGTATAACATTAATTTTCTATTAACCATACAACTCAATAAAGTGATATATGCGAAGTTTTATATAATTGATGCAATATTTTCTTAATTATTTTTTTATAATATTACTTCTTTCTATTTCTCATCACATTAATTATCTTTCTCACTTGTCTCTCTCTTTTTTTTTCTTATTTCTTTCCTTATCGTAAAACAATTTTGTATAGATTTATAGTGTATACTTTCTCTATTCGAAAGGAATTAAGATGGTTCATGAATGTATATAAACTCGTAAACTTATTTATATGTCTTAATCAGTTTAATCACTTCAAGAGATGTCAATTCTAATACTCCTTTTTTATATATATAATATATTTTAAAAAATAAGGATGCCCTCTAATATCTGTTTAATTGTTTAATAATTAAATTAAACAAGCAAAACCAATTTCAAAATTAACATGATAATAATTTCAACAAATTTTCTTCTACAACTCACACGTAGGAGAAGATCAGCGAGAGACTGATCAGTCACCACAAAAAAAAAAAAAAGTAACACGAACTGTTATTCATGAAAGACGTTCAAATTCAAACCATATTTTCTGATCGCTTTAATTAATTAATATCTGTAATTATTGTTTCATTATTGTGGTTTCTAATTATGGATACATCAATGCAATTTTCTAGACTCCAGAAAATCCTTTTTATTTGGTCCTCTCGAGGATACGTAAGCAAGAAAGCTTGCAAAATCTGTGTCCATGTAACGCTTGGGATTGGCTTCGTCAACGAGTTTCGGCGACGGTTTCACTGTGCAGTTAAATGGAAGACTATGAAGCGAAGCCACCGACATCCTACTCTTAACTTCATTCACTACAACTCTATGTAACACGCTCTTGTATTTTCCATTGCTATATATCTGATCAATTTCAACACAAAGAGTAAAATCAGCACAATCCAAAACCACAATAAATTATTATTATTATTTTTTTTTTTGTGCGTGTGAGTGAATCCAGATATCCTCAGAACAACCACTTAAAATGCATGGTGTGCATGTTCCCAATTTTTGAAAATGAAGCTATATATAGGTACCTCTAAGTGATCACCAACATTGACAACAAAGGCATTGGGAATGGGTTGAACTGTGACCCATTTGTCTTGGTATTGGACTTGCAAGCCTTCTACCTCGTCTTGCAGAAGAAGTGTGAGGAAGCCATAATCAGAGTGAGGGGGTATGCCCAAGGTAAGCTCTGGTTCAGGGCATCGAGGGTAGAAATTCGCCACCATCATTTGACTCCCATTTTCAAACTCCTTCACAACACTCTCCTCCTCTCCTTCCTCGTTTTGCACTATTCCTAAACCCTCTAGGATCGCTTCCATTACCACCAGAAACAAATGTCTGGTTTCTTCTGCGTAGGTTCCAACCACTTCCCTGGTTTTAAATAAAAATTAGAAATGTCACACCAACCAGCTCTTGCATGACAACTTGTAATTATTTATTCCAATACTGACATCATTTATTTCTCTCCATGACATCATTTATTCGAAATCATAAAAATTGTTATCATGGGCATGTTCAGAAAGAAATTCCAAATAAATAGTTTCAAGAAAGTAAAATTAAAAAAAAAAAAAAAAAAAACTTCTTTATAAGGTTGTTTGTAGTAGTATTCTGCTCACCGAAAGTCCACTGGTGAAACAGGCCAATGGGGGAGGAAATCTGGTAAGGGATGGCACAGGAGTTTCAAGAAATCCCTCCAACACAACACACTGTCTTTGGTTTGACTGAAACTAGTCCCACATCGAACCGGTGCTGCCATATCAGTTGTCATGTACTGGCCTCTCTCCTCCAAAGGAAGATCAAAGAACCTCCCACTCACATCTATCATGCTCCTCACAACATCATCCGAGATGCAATGATTTACTAGCTGCATCATTCCAACACAACAAACTTCAATATCACACACACATACACGCACACATGCACGTCATTACATTCTATACTAATCAATCATTACTGATATTCTTCAACAAAATGATTTCCCTACGGTTAGTTCTTTGTATATTTAATGTTCATTGTTCCTGCATGAGGCTCCCCATCGTATCATATTTACAAACATAGGTAGCATTATATTGAATGTGTTAACAGAACAAAAAATGGGATTTAAAAAAGAATATATTTTAAAAAGGTTAGAACTAGAAGAAAAGGATAATGAGTCATTGGCCCATGCACCAAACACCTAATTACCTGGAAAAATCCATACTGTTGACAAGCATTGGCTAGGGATTGAAGCGCTTGGGGCCTATTTGGACCAAGCAATTCTGAAAAATCAATGATGGGTAATTGAAGATTTTGGTTCACAACCTTTGAATCTTCCACACTCTTAGTGGGTCTCTCAGAAACAGGAAGTATGTACTTCTTAGGTACCGCATGAATATGACCTTTCTCACACAGCTGCTTCACTCCTTTCTCATATTGACTTCGCTCTTCTGCATCATCCTTGCTCCTCTGCTCATTTAGTGCCATTGCAGGAGACATATAGGCTCTGCTAAATGTAAAGTAATTAATTACCAGGTGACTGGGAGCAATAACCTACATAACAACATGTACGTAATTAACTGGAGACTCAAAAAATGCTTATAATTTATTTAATTGTATGACTAATTAGAAAGATGAACTTAAATTGAGTTGCTAAAAACTACCTTGGTTGAGAAAAGAGGTAGTGTATAATGAGGGTTGTTTGAAGAAGAGAAACTGGAAAAGAAGCTTGAATGGGGTGTTAATGATATGAATACTTTGATGTATATATAGGGAAGGGAAGAAGGAAAAGTGGGGCAAGCAGCAAGTTTTGAAGAAACCAGTTTCAAGATTCTGAACGGGACGACTAATTCCATTTCCATTCCAACCGTTGACAAAAGTCAGTCAGACCACGGGGCAAGACAGACACAAAAGACCCCATCCATGCTAATTCATTCACCTAGCACCTACTACCTCTCTCCTTGTTTTTTTCTTATTATTACTTTCATTTTGTTTCTTTCCATTATTATAAACTCTCAAAACACCAATTTAAAAACTAGTCATTATAATTCATGTATAGATATATAACTATATAGCTGACTTTTGGGCATGCATATTTCTAATTTGATGAGTGAAGTATCTATCATCTCTTGGTTTATTGTATATAGTATGGAAGGAAGTGAGAGATGAAAAAGAAAGTAACATATGTCATAAACGACATGTTAATTTTACAGGATTTTCCCTCTCGTTTCATCTGGTTTGGTCAAGTCAGTTAACTATGGCAGCCTTCATTATCATGCTTTTTTGTCTTGATAACATGGTGTGTATTTGAATTCAATGCCATTATTCTTCTAGTAATTCATTTTTGATGGCTGTGGTGTGGGGCTGTTTACATGTGTGTCTGCTATAATTAATAATTGAAAATCCAAATCTTTACTCCGTACGTGAATTTACTTTCCACGTCATGTTTAAGCCTTTTGTGATTCAAAGTATATTAATGTTTCGCAGCTGAGTGTATCTCGATTGGTTTTATTATTCTTCTAAAATGGTTGCACGTTTTAAATTACCCTCGATTTGTCTAGTTCCTTGTATTGGACTGCTTCCAGAATCTTCCCCAACAATAGTGTCCATTTATGGCTTGTACTTTCAAATTTATTATGCCCACACGAACCTTTCACCACGAATATCAATTCTGATACCAGAGTTGAGAAACATGAAGACTTTCAACCAGATGATGTATATTTGTAAATCTTTTTCATTGTTCAATTTTATCCATTTCTACATAGTATGGTACTACTCACAGTGTATATGGAAGTGAAAAATAAGCAAATTTTTAAACATGTAGATTGTGAGATTGAGTATTTTTCTAGTTTCAAAATTGCGTGCTGTGTGTTTGGATGGACGAAGACTTGACGAGGCGATTGTTTGAACGAACTCACTCCAAATTGTTCTTAGTTTGAACAATAGTGTGTAGGGAGGAGGGTTCGTAGAGAGTGCTGAGTTTTCTCTAGGAGGGTTCTTGGAGAGTAAAGTGCGTATAGGTGTGACGCTAAGGTGACGTTAGATACAATGCTGAACACCATTTTTGTATCTTGTGATAACTATGTATCTCTCTCTCTTCTCCTACACCTTGTACCAAGCAAAGAAAACTAGATATCATCTCCCCACAGTTGCTATAATTACAAAGATGAACGTGCCAACAAAAGAAACAGAAAAGTATGTGTTAACCTAAATGTCATATCTCTGAAAATGTATACGCAGAAATTAATTTTTAAATCATTAAATATTGGTACACGTTTGGTGGTTGTATTTTGTATTCTCATCCAAAAATAATAATGAGCAGAAAATTGGTATGAGAAACCTAAATTAAACCTAAATCACTAATTATTTTTTATGTCTATGTCTAAATAAAATTATTTACATTTTTTTAGAATGAATTAATAGTTTTTAAAAAATAAAGAACTTATAAAAATCGTAAAAACATAAATAATGAACAATTATTATTGTTATCATCATAGATTAAACATTTACTAATTAACATAAATATTAAAAATTTATATTGATAATTCTGTAGATTTACAAAAGTTCTGAAGATAATTAAAACTTTCAATTGCTATATGTGTATATAAATACACAATTGATACATAATATATATATATATATATATATATATATATATATATATATATAATTTCAATAATACATACTATTAGCTCAAGTTATAGAAACTTTTATTAAGTACTGTTTTGAAAAGTTTTTTATAAATAAAAATACTTATCTAACTCAACTAAAACTATTCATGATCTAAATATCTACTTTGAAATATTAAGGGTTAAAAAGAAATGAAATATATATATATATGTGGAAATAAAATTAAAATGAACCTAACAAGTAAAATAGATAATTGTTTGATATTAATTTGACTTTATAACACCAGTATAGGCTTTAGCCCTGACATACTTGTCTTGTTTTAGAGGACATTTTCGCCAGTTGCATTAATTTATTTATATTTGCAAATTTGTACCTTTGCAAAATTGTTATTTTTTTATCATCGAATTAAACACCTTACAATTTTATATTTGTATGTTGTTATAAGGAATTCCCAATTGACAACAATTTTTATTTCTTAAATATTTTTATTTGATTCTTTTGTATTTTCCTTTAGTTGTTTTCTTGCATTATAATATTTGTTGTAGTATAACATAATCTTCATTGTTACTATTTTTTCCTTGATCATCCAAAGACAAAATAATAAAAAAATAAATTGCAGATTGGAAAAACAAGCAACTCATATATATTAAAGCATCAGTGCATGAAAATATGAATTCAATTTCCAGCACCCTGCTCAGGAACATTGATATTTTCATGGAGTATATATAAGTAGGTTGATGATATAAGTTAGGTTCAGGGAACTTATTATATAACATGATGAGGTCCTTTTTTCTGTGGAACAGAACAGTTAATGCTGAAAAATGAACCATGATAACTAATAAATGATGAAGACTACAGAGTCCATTTCATAGAGATCTACGAACTGGTTTGGCATATGAAACACCTGCAAGTGGGGTTTTGTGGCATCAAATAATTTTAAGTAATCACATATGTCCTTCATTTCATATACTATATGTCGTGTCGCTTGAAGAAGTTGTCAAGTGTGATCTAGCAGTGAGAGTTGACTCTAGTGGATACAGTTCAACATTTTCAATATAAGATTTTGTGTTTATAACGTCTGTCATTAAACTTCTATCAAGATAATTATAGGCTAGTACTAAACAATTTATTACTGCAATTTCTGGCATGATCTAATGTTAAAGAAAGACTTTTTATGTCGACTTAGTGAAAAACATTTTAAATTGTTCTGTTTTCTCATTTGAATAGAATTCATTGTTCAGTATCTTTCTTTGCTCTAAACCATGGATTGGATTCGAAATGCATCATATATTGTTGGCTGATGCGATAGTCATGGTTTCTTGGCACTTTTAGTTGTATTTTTTTCTTTTCCCCTTTTAAAAAAAAAATTCATACACAATTACATATTATTACAAGAAAATTTAAATAAATATGTAAAAAAAATACACACGAAAAGCAAATTATAAATGCATATAAACAAACATATACTATTTATTCATATAAACTGTTTAATAAAATTAATTAAAAAATAATACCATTGTTTTAGAATAAATTATAAAATGATTAAGTTTTATGATATAATTGTTTTCAAAATATGTCTAAGATAATCTACAATTACTGATAGTGTGAAATTCTGTATAAATTTACATAAATTAGATATTTATTAAAATAAAATATTTCACACAGTTATATTTATTCAAAACGACAAACATCAATTGTTGGTTAATTTAAAGTACACTGGTTTCTCAATTCTCACATGCTAAACTTATAATCAATAAAGCTTATCAATGCATTACAGCTAAGTTTTTGAACTTATGCTGTTGTATTTATGCATAAAGTAATTAAACAAATGATAATTACGTGAGATTATGGGCGTGAATCTATATATACTATGAGCTCAAGCACTCAAACACTATTTAATCATATCATTTTGAGTTAGGTAATGTTGATTAATGAGTATAAAAACAAGCCCCATGTAGATATTTGAACCATTTAATTAATAAATTAAAACCCTACATATATGTAGGCATATAGGTTCTTGGAAATTAAGTGAAAGTAAAAATCTTGTAAAAAATAAATAAAGTTGAATAAATTATAATTGAAAAAAAATCCAAAACTTAATGTTGAAATAATTTATTGTAATATAATATCATATTATTATTTGTGAGAATTTGAGGGTTTAGAAAATACGAAAAGAAAGCTTATGGTATTATAGAGATCACGAGAGAAGCATAGAAGTATAAAGGCTAGAAGCTAAGTGAAGATGGTAATGATGGGATTGTAGATTATTTTTGGTGCCCCCACCATTGAAATGAACGGAGGAGGATTCTGAGTTTGTAGTCTGGTCAAGGTGTATTCATGTAAATGGCTTTTTGTCTCATTCATTCCTAAACTTTAATTCAAATTTGTCCTACGTCCTCAATTCATTGCATGCATTTTATCGTACTATTCTACCGTGAACTACAACCGCTGCTTCTTATATATTTTATGTCTCTGTCAAACCATCTCTCTTCTACCACTTCATTCACTCACTTTCTTATATACCATTTCAACTCAAATAAAATAATCAAATGGTATATATCTATACAGTAAATGAGATAATACAACTCATTTATTTTTACGTTGTTTTATATATATTTTTTAAATTCTAAAAAAATAGTAACACATGAGATAAGTATAAATGCTTGCAAATTCTTCAACTTAATACTTATTAGTAATTCTGTTCACATTACGATTTAGGGTCCATAATTAGGAATAAAGATTTTATCCTATGAGGAATGAGGACATAAGTAGGAAGGGGTTTAGAAAGAAAAAAAAACTTGGAGAAAGAATCGATTGTATTTTGACACCTAATGGCTTTATTTCATTGAATTTTATGATGGAATATTTAATTGTGTTTTTTTTCTTCTACTGAACTAAAATTTTAAGAAGTCACTAATTTATATAATTCATTTTTTATTCTTAAATCAAAATATTAATTTCTTGATTGAGTTTTAAAAATACCATTTCTCGTGAATAATAGGGTTTGACATAGTTTTGTATTAGTAAATAATTAAAAAAAAAGTTTTTGAGAATAAGTTAAAAGAAAATGAATCTAGTAAATAAAAAAATTATTTGATAAAATTATTTTCAAAAAATGTTTTTTTAAACAACTGCCTATAATTTTTTATTAATTATTTTTTAATAAATACATTAAATTTTCATCTTCATGGATTATGAATAAGATACAATTTTTTTCTTTATAAAGAACTATAAACAAAAAAAAATATAAATATCAGAAATAAGTTAATTCAAAGCTTTTAATTACTATTTTTATATTACTCGTCGTTGGTAAGAAATAAATATTAAAATAGATAAAATTTATTTGTTATTTATAAATCACATGAAAATAAAAATAAAAAATTAACCTATTTAGAATAAAAATATTGTTCGCACTCAAATAATTTGAATGTGATTTCAAATTAAAAGATTCTCAAATGATTTATAATGAGTGTAGTAGCTGCATTGAGATTTTTTAAATACTAAACTTATTATTGAAATGATTTATGAAAAATATTATAAAATATTTTAATTTGAGCATAAAGAGTTTTAGTTTTAAATATTTAAAACTTTTACTATTAATGAACACCTAAAACTACTTTCTTCTTCTTCATGTTTTAATTATTTTAAAAAAATGAAAAGTAAAATACCTGTTAATAATTCTCATTTTTAGTTTTTAATAATTACAAGACTACAATAATTTTAAAAATTATTTTAATAAATAAGTGTCAAATATTTTCTATTTATTTTTTAAACTAAATTGAAAACTACTTTTAAAAAGAAATAAATTAAGAAATCTTACACTTTTATCTTTACATTATTATTATTTGTGTTACATATCTATGCCTTAAACATAATCTTAAAATTAATATAGTTGGAATTAATTACAATAACTAATATTACCAAACTAACTAGCATGCTTATAATAATTAATTACGTAATACTAAACTAATCTGAAGAATTAATATATTTTCCAAAAACTATTTTTTTCCATTGAAAGTGTATTTATTTAATAACAATTGAAAAATATGTTGATTGTCAGATCATATATGAATTTGATTCGATAAGTTTTTTCAAAGGTAGTTTTAATAAAGAAAAAAATTTATAAATTTAAAATAAATTTTATCCAGTTTAGAAGAAAAATTGGAAAATTTTAAATTATAAATAAATATTTGTTTTTTTTTATCTTATACATATATTCATGGATTTTTTTTCTAAACAGATTTTATATGTAGCCACAAATTTTTCCTTTCATTGTCAAAAATAGTTATTGACTTCTTCCCTCTTGGATTGTGATGTCTTGATAATTTGTCAAAAATATATTATCTTAACGATATCTTTAAAACTATACGAACGACTTTTTTAACTATAAATGTTTTTTTTTCTTAGCAATGTCATCTTAATATTTTAAGATGAAAAATGTTAGTAATTTTTTTTATTACTCTTATATTAATTTAATTACCAAAATCAGGAGAGAATCAATGAGAAATAGATATCGTAATTGGTATTTTTCAATTAAATTTAATTAATAACAGTATTTTAAAAAGAGTACTATTAACATTTCTCTTTTATATTATTATTATTTTAAAAAATCTTAGAAATGATTCAAATAATCTAAATCATTAATTTAATTTATGGTTCAAAACTAGCATCAGTACATTGCACTTAATCAATATAAATTACAAATATATGCATGCTGTTTGCAGTTTACAACTTACAAGTAATCCTTAATCAAAACAACATTTTTATTTTATCAGCATAAAAAAAAAAAATCTTCTTCTCATCCATCAATTGCTTCCTGCAATCCCAGAATTTAAAACTGCACCAATACCTTTTAGGAATTATGGGGTGCAGAAAGAAATTGCCTTTCTACTCTGACTCGAAAGATAAGACTAGCCCAACCCAAGTACCTAAAACTTTACTTTGTTCAGAACTATGTGGCAATTGGAACTACTAAGGTCTTACTTGTATAATAAGAATGGTTTAAGATTTAATTAAAAGATAGACTTGTTATCCATGTGATACACGAAAATAGATAGTTATTTTAAAAGTCTAAAATTATTACTATTATAAAAATTGATTATTATATCTATTTATATTATTTAATTTTTTTTATTTTTGACATTAAACTATTATAAAAAAAACATTTTATACTTTAAAAAATATAGTATATTGTAGTTAATTTTTAACAGTTTTTAAGATTATAGTATTGATTTAATATTATAATTAGTTATTTATCATCTTTTAAAATATGATATTTCAAATATTTGTTATAATATAATATTATATTCTTTTAATAAGAGATGATTTATTTTCTTGATAATTTTAATGTTAGTATATTTTAATCTTACTAAACTTAATTTAAAAATTCCAATTTGAAATTTTTATTCTGAAGTTTAATTTCCACGTTATAAAATAAAATTTGTACGTTTTTATTAAAATATGTTTATTTTATTTGTTAAGCAACTTAAGTTATATAACATAATATTTTGAATTTTATATTATAATATTGTTTTTTGTTGTTATGATTATTTTTATCGTTTCATTCTTTATACTATTTTAGATTCAATTTGATTATAGTATTACAATATTTTTCTTAAGATTCTAGTATTAGTTTGTTATTTTTTATTGTAATCTTTCAGTTCACTATAACTTTCTTAATATTTTATTAGTTTTCTTCATATTTAATATTAGTTTTATTTAATTGCTTTACAATTTTTAATACTATAATGCTAAATAAATATAATTTTTAATATAAATATTAATCAATATCTTTATTGTTTTAAAATACATTTATGATATTTTAAATATTTATTTTTGTTCTTAAAATTCTATATCCCGTTTATTTATCTTCAATAATTTTAAAAATAAATTAAAATTATTAAATTAAAAAAAATAGACATGGTGTTTTCACTAATAATAATAATAACAATAATCTATAACAATATATAAGAATAATATATAAAAAAAGATTCTCTTTATTATATTTTATTTTTTGTATTTTTTTAATTTTTTTCTCTCGAATATAAACTAATAAATAAAAATATATTTTCTATTTACTTCATTAATTACACATTGTCTATGATTTTTCTCTTTTCTTAACCCTCTATCTTGCTTCAATTTTTTCTTTTCTTAAAATCTTGTCTTGCTTCTATTTATCTTCAATAATTTATAATTTTAGAAATATAAATATTTATATTTTACAATTTATATGTTAAATTTTAATAAATAAAAAAACATAATAAAAATGGTACACTAATTATATATGACAGGTCTTCTCTCTTTTTTTAACCAATTTTATTGTCATCGGAAAAAATATTATATATAATTAGTAAAAAAATAATGTGAAATACATCTAAAGAGTAGAAAGAGAAAAAAAAAAGAAAAACTCATTAGGGAAAAGAAAATATAATGTATAACTAGTGAAAAAAAGGTAAAAAATGAGATATATCTAAAGAATAGAAAAATAATAAATAACAAAATAAAATTAAAAAATATTATATAAAAAATGTTCATATATTGAGATTTAAACGACAACGTTTCCACTCTTTAATATTAAACATTTGTTTTATTATGTAATTGTGATATAGGTTACACTGCAATAAATAAGTAGGTAGTGTAGATAAAAATGAGTACAAAATAAATCATAATTTTTCATTAATATTTATTTCTTAATTAAATATCTTGAGATTATTAATTTGAATGAAGTAGTCAATCTAACAGAACCTATCTTTAGTGGAATAACAATTCAAAGCTGGACAAACCTAAACCAAAACCCCAAGAAAAATTGCAACATTTCTTTCTTATTTGACAACAAACCCGACCAATTCAACATGATGAACAAATGACCAAGACATGAACACAAAGACTAAAGGCTAAAAGAAGAGGATATGTTGGGGCCATGGATGAAACCTTTGTAATGAACTCCTATGTCACCCCTCTTATTATCTCCACTGTTGGCATAGTTTGCTCTACTGTAGCAATAGCAGTCTACCATTGCATCCTCTTGAGGTTTTTCATTAGACCTCAGAGAACACAACACAGAAACAACACAACAAACACAAGTTGGGACAAGAGTGAAGGGGTTCAAGAAGAAATCCTTGACAAAATCCCAGTTTTCTCAATCTCCGCCCAAACAAGTAGTGGTGACAATGGCATTCATTTGGACCAAAATGTTGAATGCTCCATTTGCCTAGGACAATGGGAAGATGGGGATATGGTGCGGTCGTTGCCTTCTTGTAATCATGTTTTCCATAAATCTTGCATTGATGCATGGTTCACGGACCATGCCAATTGCCCTGTTTGTCGCTCACCAATCTCTTGTGATTGTGAGTTAGGCTTGCCAATGCCTTCACAAAATCATGCTCGTGCCTAACATCTTTTGCCATATGCATAGGCTTGCATGCATTTTATATTCATCAGGATTTAGGTCTACTTTTGCTTTCCCCAATTTTGGATTTCGGGGAGCCTTGTCACTTGATTCATTTGGCCTTTTGATGGTTAAAGATTTAGAACTGAAGTGATTTGGAACCAGAAACAAGAAAACTGAGACTTTGTTAAAACTTGAATCGAGCAAAGGATGAACCTCAGACAACTTATTTGACAAAATGTTGATGAACAATTGCATGTGTGACTCAAAATATTCCATCGTCGTCATCATCCATTTATCAATCATGACGTGAATGGTTACTCCCCAAGATTTCAACGATCATACCATTCGGATATCACCATTATCATTCCTAGAGGTTTCCACCTCTTCTACGAAAGACCAGCTGCAAATTCTTGGTACGAAGACTTTGCATACAACAATTCATAGTCGTGGATCTGCATCTAATTCAATCATATTTAATTCAACCGATCATTATCACTTTGGGAAATTAAATTCTTATAAATAATACATAAGTCTATATAAGAAATATAATATCAAGGTTTAATCTAAAACCTTCGTTTATAAATTATTTAACTTTTTTATTTTTATTCTAGGATTTTAATTCACCATTAAATTGTCAAATGGTGAGATCACGATAATACAAGACTTTTTATGTTGATTAGTGTTGCAATCAGATTCGCGATCGAACGATAAAATTAAGTTTCTAAATGAAAGAAAAACAGTTGAGTCGCCACTAATATTTATTTTAAGAAAAAATATCGAAAAAAACCTTAAAAAAAAGAGTCTACAAAATAAAGATTTGGTTCGAGAGTCGATTACGTGTAAGAAAGGTATTAGCACCTTACAACATCCGTTCTAAAATAACAGCTTACCTTTAATTAGATGTAAAAATTTAAGTATCTTACAATTATCTATTTTATCTCTCAAATTTATATGTCGATTATATATTGCTACTAAATAAAAGATTATGTATTTTTATATTATTAGCTCCACAGAGATCATTTCCCTACTCCTACGTATCCCCAAATGCAATGGAGAATCGAAGTAACGTAGTTCTCTCTTATAAAAAATGTATTTGTAAGTAATTTATTTATTAGTGTTAATAAATTAAAAGTATACTTAGGATAATTATGAAATAAACAAATTAGAAGTGCATCTAAAGTAATTATTATTTTTTTTATAATTTGAATAATAATTAAATCGAAGTACATCCAAAGTAATTATTAATATTCAAATATTTTTAATTATTAAATTTATCATCTCTTTTCGTGGGTTTAAGATATTTTAAAAATTAGTATTTATCATAATTAAATCAAAAGTACATTTGAAATGATTATTATAAATTTATGATAATCAAATTGAAAGTACATCCAAAGTGATTGATTAATTTTTTATATAATTTTAAGTAATAACTAGTTTAAAATGTGTTTTAAAAAAATTACTACCATAATTAAACTCTTTTGAAATTTATTGTACTAAAAATTTAACATTTTAAATTAATTATATAATGATCAAATTAAAATCTGTTCAAATTAACCATAAAATTTTAACCTTACAATAATTAAATCAAAATTGTAATTATATTTGAATAAATAACTTTGTAAATTTATTAATTCTAATTAAAAAAAAGGCTGTAACATAAAAAAAAATTATCACTAATGTAAAATATTATTTATCTACTTATTTGTTGATTTTAAATAAAGAAAAAAAATAACAATAATAATAGTAATAATAATAATAGTAATAATAAGATAGTAATAATAATAATAATAAGAAGAAGATAATAATAATAATTATTATTTTTTGTAATTTATTTTATTATATTGTTCAGTTTAAAATAGAAAAGAAAAAAAAATATTAAGCCCAATAACTCATAAAAAATGAATTTCAGATTTCTATTTGAAACATTTTATGTTATTTTCACCTTCCTCCAATTTGGGTCACGTGTATTTTGAGCCCACTTATCTATCTCTACCCATTTTGCTTGAGTCTCTTAACCTAAACCTAATGGGAGCCGCAAGAGGCATGATTCGCAGAGGGGCTAGGGCTGTTGGGTGAGGCGCGCATGGCTAGGGTTCAACTGAGGGAGATGAGAGTGTTACGGTAATTTTCGGTGAGGGGAGGCAGTCCATGGTGGAGCTGGCTGCACTGTGGCTCGCGGTGGTTGGCGAGAAGTGATTCGCGGGTTCAAGTGGTGATGATGGTCGGTAATAAAGGGTGAGGTGCGAAGGAAACAACCACAAGGGTGGCACACGGTGAGCGGTGGGTGTGGTTCAATGGCAAGGGGTGAATCGCGATTGAAGGCATCTATTAGGGTTGGTGGATAAGGTTCTGGTGAAGGAGATGGGAGTCGAGACTGTGTGAGTTTAAATCTGGGAATGGGTGAAGGAGAAAGGTTTTACTACCAAAAAAAAAAAAGATGGATGAGGTGGAAACTACGAGTCTCGTTGGGCTATGGTGGTCATTGATGGTGCGGTGGCGCCGCTGGTGGTATGGTGGGTTTATTGGCGGTCGTTGGTGGTATGGTGGGTTTACTTGTGGTGGCCGACCGCCGGTGAGGTAGTAAATAAGTTTTTTTTTATTTAATTATTATAATTTTTATTAATTGTTATAAAATATACACACAATTAACAAGATACAAAATATTATTACAATTGGTAACCTGTTGAATGTACGTTGTTTTGCCTTTGTTGATTGTTGTGGTTGAATGAAATATTGTTGTAGATGAATGAAATATTGTTGTGGTTGAATGAGATATTGTTGTGGTTGTATTAACTGAGGGTTTTCTGATGGTGGGTGATAGTGGGTGCATGATGATGATGATTTGTTTTTTTCTTTTTTTTTTTCCTTTTTTTCGTTTTTGAAATCTCCTTCTCAATTTATACAGGTCTATCGGAGCTGGAGCTAAGGGTGGCTAGAGGGTGGCTAGAGGAGACTGTAGGGTGGCTAGAGGATGGCTGAGAGGAGACTTTAGGGTGGCTGGAAGGTGGCTTAGGGTGGCTGGAGGGTGACTTAGGGTGGCTGTCTGGTGGTTGTAGGATAGCTTGTGGCTATTTTTTTTAATTATTTTTTATTATCTGTTTGGTGTTTACAGTTGCCTCTCTTTAATTAAGTTTTATTGAATAATTTGAATGAGAATTCATATTATCATATTAAAACACAATTAAAGATGTGAACACCAAAATATTGCAAATATAAGTTGAAAATTTAGAAATAGACTCGGGGATGTATGCAAATATAAATAAAATTATGATTTGAAAATTTGAAAACTTGAGGATGGACCCGGGGATCCAATATTGCAATTGAAATATGCAAATATGAAATTGTGATTTGAAAAAGTTGAAAACTTAGAAGTGGATTCAGGGATCCAATATTGTGATTGAAATATGCAAATATAAAATTGTAATTTGAAAAAAATTGAAAACTTAGAAGTGGATTCGGGGGCCCAATATTGCGACTGAAATATGGCGATTGAAAATTTAGAAGTGAATTTGTAGACTTAGGGCTCGGGGACCAAATACAAAGCTGTGATTTGAAGTGTTGAAAGCTTGGAAAGTAATGCATATAATTTAAACCTTATAAGAGGTATGGGAAACCTTGTAAGGGACATGAGAAGCTAACATGAATATTTCCGCACCCTCTAGCTATTGGCACAAGTCTGATTACTTTGGGCACAACGAACCTCTAGATAGATGTATATTGAATGGAACAAAGGTTAAATAGTTATTTATTCTTAACTTAAACAAGTAATGCATGATACTTAATTCACAAATAAAGTGCATGATATATAATAAAGTGCATGACATGTGATTTATAAATAAAGTATGATATGTAATGCATAATGTGTGATGTATGATATACAAATTCATGATGGGTGCATGTACTTTTAAATAATAATTTTTGTTTTATTTTATATATATATATATATATATATATTTTGCGCATTTTCCTATGCCTTATCCCCTTAAGATTTCGAGTGTATCAAGATTCATGAAGGGAATCAGTCTTTGAAATGTATTGAGTTCGTCTAATTCAATCGGATCATGGTTATACTTTAATATTCCGAATAACTGGTCGTCCTTGCCCACATCACTTCATTTTTTTTATTATAATGCAATTTTAACATTATGATATGTCCCTTTATTGGTATATTCATGATGAAATTACACAAAGATGTGGTGGTTGAGACAACTTTTTATTGCTAGGAATGGAAAGAGTACATACAGGAACAATTTTGTTTAATGAATACAGGAACAATTTTGAATACATGACAATTTGAGGGTTTTTTTTTTGGTAACAATGTTAATCCTCATGTTTACAATTTTGAAGAACTCATTTGTTAACCTTTGCAAACATATGACAAATTTGGTTTCATCCCTTGAGTAGCTTTGTGTATATCAATCTTCTTACTTGTCCCCGCTTTCTGAACTTTCGACATTGTAGGTCACTCTGGCTTTTACATAGACCATTTTTTCAGGTTTTCAGTCAAGTAATTGTATTTGCCCCTATTTTGCTTAAACTGCTCCTTCCAAGTTTTTAACTTATCGGATTGTTCAATTTTGCCTAGACCGTCTTTCCAGATTTTCAGCCTAGCGAACCCTTTTTCTTTTTCTCTCCTTTTTTATGCATAGTATTTCTTAACTGCGTCAAAATTGATTGGAAGTGATAAATCTTTACCATCCATGTTTGAAAGGACAAGAGCACCTCCCGACATATTTTTCTTTACCACGTATGGTCCTTCGTAATTGGGTGTCCATTTTCCTCTTTGATCTTTCTGAGTTGGTAAAATATTTTTAAGGACCAAATCTCCTTCGTGAAATTGTCGAGGTCGGACCTTTTTATCATAAAATCTTTTCAACCTTTTTTGATACAATTGTCCATGACATAGGGCGATCAACTTTTTTTCTTCAATAAGATTCAATTGGTCGATACGAGTCTGGATCCATTTAGCCTCTTCAAGTTTTATTTCAGCCAACACCCTTAGAGAGGGAATTTTTACCTCACTTGGAAGCACTGCCTCCATCCCATATACCAAAGAATATGGAGTTGCCCCTGTAAAAGTTCAAACAGAGGTGCGATATCTGTGTAGTGCGAAGGACAACATTTCATGTCAATCCCTGTATGTAACTACCA